TATTTTCCTAATTGCAACTCTTTTCTTACTCTCTGATCATTTTTGCTTCATTGACACCTAATTATCAATTTGTACCTATAAGATACTAAATCCACCAATTAAAACAGAAATATAAATTAATCCATAAAAAAATCCACGTAAACGTAAACGTTGAGGGTTATTTCTACACTCCACTGTATCTTTTGTATTAAGTGTCTTTGCTATTGTTTGGTTATGCGTATTAAAGTCCTAGTGTTGTATTTCGTGTTTTTAAGAACGTTGTTGCGAATGTACTTTTGCGCATATTTCTTTACATGTACGTTTGTGCATGTCCATTTGAGCGAGTGTGTTTGTGCATGTTTGTTGATTTGTATTAATGTCCTAGGATTGTAGTTTGTGATTTCATGATCCTTTTTGCGAATGCACTTTTGCGTGAGTACTTTTGTGCATGCTTTTGTACTTTTACTTATGTGCGTATCTTTTGTAGCGAGTGTTTTAGTGCACGTTTTTTGATGCGCATTCGTGATCTCGTACTGTAGCACGTATTTTCATGATCGCTTTTGGAATCTAATTTTGACCATGTTCGAGTTCGAATTTTGAAATTTGACATTAGCCAGGAATTGTAGCCAGCTAAAATAGCTTTCTAATGCCGCCGGAACCAGTTGATTTGGAGTCCGGATGAGAAAGTTATGCCCGACTTCGTGGACACTACCGAAGATGTTGAGGGATCCTCTCTTCTAATTTGATTTTATTTTCCTAATTGCAACTCTTTTAGCTCTTTGATCATTTTGCTTCATGGACACCTAATATCAGTTTGTACCTATAAGATACTAAATCCACCAATTAAAAAAAAATATAAATTAATCCATAAAAAAATCCGCGAAAACGTAAACGTTGAGTGTTTTTTCTGCACTCCACTGTATCTTTTGTATTTAGTGTTTTTGCTATTGTTTGGTTATGCGTATTAAAGTCCTAGTGTTGTATTTCGTGTTTTTAAGAACATTGTTTCGAATGCACTTTTGCGCATGTTTTTTTACCTGTACGTTTGTGCATGTCCATTTGAGCGAGTGTGTTCTTGCATGTTTGTTGATTTGTATTAATGTCCTAGGATTGTAGTTTGTGTTTTCGTGATCCTTATTGCGAATGCAGTTTTGCGTGAGTACTTTTGTGCATGCTTTTGTACTTTTACTTATGTGCGTATCTTTTGTAGCGAGTGTTTTTGTGCACGTTTTTTGATGCGCATTCGTGTATTCGAACTGTAGCACGTATTTTCATGATCACTTTTGGAATCCAATTTTGACCATGTTCGACTCCGAATTTGGAAATTTGACATTAGACAGGAATTGTAGCCAGCTAAAATAGCTTCCTAATGCCGCCGGAACCAGTTGATTGGAGTACGGATGAGAAAGTTATGCTCGACTTCGTGGACAGTACCGAAGATGTTGAGGGATCCTCTCTTCTAATTTGATTTTATTTTCCTAATTGCAACTCTTTTCTTACTCTCTGATCATTTTTGCTTCATTGCCACCTAATTATCAATTTGTACCTATAAGATACCAAATCCACCAATTAAAACAGAAATATAAATTAATCCATATAAAAATCCACGTAAACGTAAACGTTGAGTGTTATTTCTACACTCCACTGTATCTTTTGTATTTATTGTTTTTGCTATTGTTTGGTTATGCGTATTAAAGTCCTTGTGTTGTATTTCTTTTTTTTAAGAACGTTGTTGCGAATGCACTTTTGCGCATGTTTTTTTACATGTACGTTTGTGCATGTCCATTTTGAGCGAGTGTGTTCTTGCATGTTTGTTGATTTGTATTAATGTCCTAGGATTGTAGTTTGTGTTTTCGTGATCCTTTTAGCGAATGCACTTTTTCGTGAGTACTTTTGTGAATGCTTTTATACTTTTACTTATGTGCGTATCTTTTGTAGGGCGTGTTTTAGTGCACGTTTTTTTATGCGCATTCGTGTCCTCGAACTGTAGCACGTATTTTCATGATCGCTTTTGGAATCCAATTTTGACCATGTTCGAGTCCGAATTTTGAAATTTGACATTAGACAGGAATTGTAGCCAGCTAAAATAGCTTTCTAATGCGGCAGGAACCAGTTGATTTGGAGTCCGGATGAGAAAGTTATGCTCGACTTCGTGGACACTACCGAAGATGTTGAGGGATGCTATCTTCTAATTTGATTTTATTTTCCTAATTGCAACTCTTTTCTTACTCTTTGATCATTTTTGCTTCATGGACACCTAATTATCAATTTGTACCTATAAGATACTTAATCCACCAATTAAAACAGAAATATAAATTAATCCATAAAAAAATCCACGTAAACGTAAACGTTGAGTGTTATTTCTACACTCCACCGTATATTTTGTATTTAGTGTTTTTGCTATTGTTTGGTTATGCGTATTAAAGTCCTAGTGTTGTATTTCGTGTTTTTAAGTACGTTGTTGCGAAAGCACTTTTGCGCATGTTTTTTTACATGTACGTTTGTGCATGTCCATTTGAGCGAGTGTGTTCTTGCATGTTTGTTGATTTGTTTTAATGTCCTAGGATTGTAGTTTGTGTTTTCGTGATCCTTATTGCGAATGCACTTTTGCGTGAGTACTTTTGTGCATGCTTTTGTACTTTTACTTATGTGCGTATCTTTTGTAGCGAGTGTTTTTATGCGCATTCGTGTATTCGAACTGTAGCACGTATTTTCATGATCACTTTTGGAATCCAATTTTGACCATGTTCGAGTCCGAATTTTGAAATTTGACATTAGACATGAATTGTAGCCAACTAAAATAGCTCTCTAATGCCGCCGGAACCAGTGGATTTGGAGTCCGGATGAGAAAATTATGCTCGACTTCGTGGACAGTACCGAAGATGTTGAGGAATCCTCTCTTCTAATTTGATTTTATTTTCCTAATTGCAACTCTTTTCTTACTCTCTGATCATTTTTGCTTCATGGACACCTAATTATCAATTTGTACCTATAAGATACTAAATCCACCAATTAAAACAGAAATATAAATTAATCCATAAAAAAATCCACGTAAACGTAAACGTTGAGTGTTATTTCTACACTCCACTGAATATTTTGTATTTAGTGTTTTTGCTATTGTTTGGTTATGCGTATTAAAGTCCTAGTGTTGTATTTCGTGTTTTTAAGAACGTTGTTGCGATTGCATTTTTGCGCATGTTTTTTTACATGTACGTTTGTGCATGTCCATTTGAGCGACTGTGTTCTTGCATGTTTGTTGATTTGTATAAATGTCCTAGGATTGTAGTTTGTGTTTTCATGATCCTTTTTGCGAATGCACTTTTGCATGAGTACTGTTGTGCATTCTTATGTACATTTACATATGTGCGTATCTTTTGTAGCGAGTGTTAATGTGCACGTTTTTTGATGTGTATTCGTGTCCTCGAACTGTAGCACGTATTTTCCTGATCGCTTTTGGAATCCAATTTTGACCATGTTCGAGTCCGAATTTGGAAATTTGACATTAGACAGGAATTGTAGCCAGCTAAAATAGCTTTCTAATGCCGCCGGAACCAGTTGATTGGAGTACGGATGAGAAAGTTATGCTCGACTTCGTGGACAGTACCGAAGATGTTGAGGGATCCTCTCTTCTAATTTGATTTTATTTTCCTAATTGCAACTCTTTTCTTACTCTCTGATCATTTTTGCTTCATTGACACCTAATTATCAATTTGTACCTGTAAGATACCAAATCCACCAATTAAAACAGAAACATAAATTAATCCATATAAAAATCCACGTAAACGTAAACGTTGAGTGTTATTTCTACTCTCCACTGTATCTTTTGTATTTATTGTTTTTGCTATTGTTTGGTTATGCGTATTAAAGTCCTTTTGTTGTATTTCTTTTTTTAAAGAAGGTTGTTGCGAATGCACTTTTGCGCATGTTTTTTTACATGTACGTTTGTGCATGTCCATTTGAGCGAGTGTGTTCTTGCATGTTTGTTGATTTGTATTAATGTCCTAGGATTGTAGTTTGTGTTTTCGTGATCCTTTTTGCGAATGCACTTTTGCGTGAGTACTTTTGTGAATGCTTTTGTACTTTTACTTATGTGCGTATCTTTTGTAGGGAGTGTTTTAGTGCACGTTTTTTTATGCGCATTCGTGTCCTCGAACTGTAGCACGTATTTTCATGATCGCTTTTGGAATCCAATTTTGACCATGTTCGAGCCCGAATTTTGAAATTTGACATTAGACATGAATTGTAGCCAGCTAAATAGCTTTCTAATGCGGCAGGAACCAGTTGATTTGGAGTCCGGATGAGAAAGTTATGCTCGACTTCGTGGACACTACCGAAGATGTTGAGGGATCCTCTCTACTAATTTGATTTGATTTTCCTAATTGCAACTCTTTTCTTACTCTTTGATCACTTTTGCTTTGTTGACACTTAATTATCAATTTGTACCTATAAGATACTTAATCCACAAATTAAAACAGAAATATAAATTAATCCATAAAAAAATGCACGTAAACGTAAACGTTGAGTGTTATTTTTTTTTTTTTTTTTTTTTTTTTTAAGAGAACGACACCCAACGAGGGTGGGGGGTTAGGCTTGACCCCCTACCTGTTTATAATACAAAATTTAAGAAGTACATAATGAGTTTTGCTCAAATTGCTATTGCCCAACATATGGCTAATAATAGCAATTGACAAACAAAAGACAATAGGTAACTAACAAAACGTTAAGAAAACGGGCAAAACAGGTGGCCCAAATAATAAAAAGGACGGGGTGGGAATGATCATAAAAGGTCGGGGAAGACCAAGGTAGACCGTTCGCCTCACCACAACAGCCGAGGCCACTTACACTTTCGCCAAAAATGGGCGAAACAGGTATAACGGCTGCGAAATGTGTGGCACCATTCGGCAAACAGTCTAGTCTTGATAGACCCAAACAATCCATAATCACCCCAACCCTTCCTAACATGTAAAGTTCACGAAAATTCCTAAATTGCCAATAATATAAAAACGTGGAATGCGTGGCACCTATGTGCGAGACTGTCGTCGAAAGGATGGATATCCAAGCTGGTCCATCCGAATCATCTGCTGAATAGGTCGGGGAAGTTCCGCTGTTGTGAAGGTACGAGCCAACTCGGTCTGACACCCCAAGTTAGCTAATGCATCAGCTACTTTATTGCCCTCCCGGTAGATATGTGTAATCTTGTACTCCAAAGTAGAAAGAGAGTTCCGGATCGCCGTGAGAGAACTCTGAAGACTCCAATGACCTTGGTCCGTGTGCGAAAGAAGTCGAACAACGACTTCTGCGTCAAGCTCGATCCAAACTCTAGTGAATTGCCTCTGAATAACAAATCGCAGCCCCGATGCAAGGGCAGCAAGCTCGGCCGCAATACTGCTCGGGGCAGAGATCCTCTCGTGAAATGCAACTATGGCCTCAGCGTCCGAACCTCTGATAATCCCGCCAATAGCTGCAATCTGGGTGGATGCTCTACGTGCTCCGTCTGTGTTTAGCTTCACCCAACCCGGATCCGGTGGAAGCCAAACAACTCGATGAGGTGTGAGAGTTGGTGTTCTGACTCGGTAATATAGGCCAAGAGACTCAGCCACGTGGGGAATGCCAGTCCAGCTGTCCGCCGAAAGTAAGTTGGTTTGGTGAAGAATCCTGATGTGCTGGATGACCCTGTAAATGATGGAAGAAGCGCGAACCGTGATATCCTTGTGCTTGCTGTCATTTCTTGCAATCCATAAGTACCACAAGATCAAGCAAGGCACAATGGTCGTGATGTGTGTGTGGTGTGTGAGTGTGTGTGAAGTGAAGTGCTGCCAATAAAGTAAAATCTGGGGTATGTGCGTAGTGTGTGCAGGTGTATAGCCAAAAAGATAGAAAAAATGATGCCATACCCTCTTAGCCGTCGGGCTCTCCACGAAGATATGATCAATCGACTCAACAGAAGGAGACTCGACAGACTGAGATACAAGACTCGACACAGGAATAGATGGATCTGGACAACAATAGCACCTCGAGGCAAGAGAGGTGCCTCGAGACTGAAGTTTGGTATCCACTGGAAGACGCTGAAGAAGGAGACGCCAAAGAAAGATAGAAATTGTAGGAGTAAGACAAGATCCCCAAAATATACGAAGAAGAGGGGTAGGGGTATGCTGCTGTCGTATCAAGGCCCAAGCCGAGGTCAAGGAAAACTTGCCATCCGAAGAAGCTCTCCAAATGGGCAAATCACACGAAGCACCAGAGATTGGGACCGAGCAAATCCTATCGATCCACTCAAAAGGAATATCCTCAGCTAGCTTGTTTCGATCCCACTGACCGTTAACCAAATAATACTCCACACGAACTGACGTTAGCCGACCACCATCAATAATGCCCGAAAGGGGACCATCGCCAAACCAGTGGTCGTGCCAGAAATAAACATGACCTGGACCAATCCGCCAAAATATTTGAGCTTGAACACGCTCTCGGACACGGCACATGCGCTTCCACACCGTGCTATAGAGTGAAGACACAACGGATGAACCTGGGAACTGATTCCGACAATACTTGTTTCGGAGAAAACGGGCCCAAAGAGAATCCTGAGCACGGAATCGGAACCAGAGCTTGTAAGTGAAGGCGTCAATCACATCCGTCAAACGCCTCAACCCCAAGCCACCCTCACCAACTGGCCGACAAATCGTCTCCCAAGCAACCCAATGAGGCCGGCGCTGATTACCATAAGATCCCCAGAGAAATCGGGCCATGCACTGCTCAATCTGCTGAATAATGTACTGCGGAGGTTGAATAACCTGAACAAGATGCAAAGCCATAGTCGAAAGCGTACTCCGGATCAAGGCAAGACGACCCCCGAAAGCCAAAGCGGTCCGAGCCCATCCCGAAATCCTGGCTTGCATGCGATCAAGCAAAGTGTGAAACAAACTGCCCCGGTCCCTCCCTTTGTATAGTGGTGCTCCAAGATAAATGATAGGAAGATCCTTTCTCGGATAACTGAGAATCCGAGAAATAGTGCGAAGATGACCATCAGAACATGCCCTATCAACTGTGAAAGTGCTCTTGTGCACACTAATCAACTGACCCGAAGTCCGACAGTAATGATCGAGAAAATCCCGCAGCTTCTTCAGTCCAAAATTATGGCACGAGGTAAATATCATCACATCATCCGCATAGGCCAAATGGGATATAGGAATGCCTCCCCTTGTAGAATAAAACATGCTTGGGCAACGGCTGTATAGTGCATCAAGACCTCTCGAAAAATACTCAGCCGCAAGTACAAAAAGAGTCGGCGAGAGCGGATCTCCCTGCCTTAGACCACGAGACGAAGTGAAATACCCCGTCAGCTCCTCGTTGATTAGTAAAGAGAACTGGCACGACGAAACACATCGCCGAATAATATCAACCAAGTTCGCCGAGAAACCCATCAGCTCGAGTACACGAAATAAGAACCTCCACTGAACCCTATCATAAGCCTTTGCCATATCCAGCTTCAAAATAAGATTCGGATTTCGATTTTATTTTCCTAATTGTAACTCTTTTCGTACTAATAAAATATTATCACTAATGAGGCGACCCTGAACAAACCCACTCTGAGAAGGAGAAATAATGTGGGGCAAGTGAGGTGCCAGTCTGTTCGTAAGTACCTTGGTGATAATTTTATTGGTCACGTTGCACAAGCTAATCGGGCGGAAATCTGTCCAAGCCGTCGGAAAGTCCCCCTTTGGAATAAGAACCAAGGTGGTAGCGGTGAAGCTCGCAGGCATAGATCCACCCTCGAAGAAATCCCAAACCGCTTCACAAACATCACACTGAATCAAGTTTCAACAATGCTGATAAAATAGCGAAGAATACCCATCAGGACCCGAAGCACTATCTCGACAAATCCCAAACGCCGCATCTTTGATCTCCTCAACTGACGGACGAGTAGAGACTTAAGAAAAGTCCCTTTGAGGAGCGGAAAATAGGGACTCATCAACCGGAAGCAAACTAGGCATATCATCGGTAAGAAGCTTGCTAAAGAAATCAACGCCCGAATCCTTGATCTCCTGAGCTGATGTGAGAACCAAATAACCATGAGAGATAGAGTGGATTCGATTGACACATCGCTTTTTCTTGACTAACGAGTGGAAAAACTTAGAGTTTCTCTCTCCATCAGTCGCCCATCTACAAGCTGCCTTCTGCTTCCAAAAGTCCTCCTCAATATTGAGCATGAGAGTAAGTTCAGCAGTGGCCTTTTTCAAATTTGCACGATTCTCGGGGGATCGATCCAAGTCATATATGTGCTCGGCCTCTAGAACAGCTGCCTCGGCCCTCTCTTTATTCTTGAACACGTCCCCGAAAACATTCCAATTCCACCACTGAAGCTTCTGTTTCAATCGTCTCAACTTCGTATGTAATCGATGCATCCCCGTCTGAGCACACGGAAAATCCCAAACCTGTTCCACAATCTGACGAAACGTAGCGTGGCGGATCCACATATGCTGAAACCGGAATGAAGCAGGAGGCCTAGACGAAGAAGCAGCCGATGAAACCAAAAGAGGAGCATGATCCGACCAGGTCCGTGAGAGGTGGGTAACCTGCGTAATAGGCAATAAATCTAGCCAAGCAGAGTTATATAGAATCCTGTCCAAACGCTCCAAAAGACCTGAAGGGCTCTCCCAAGTATAGCAAGAACTAGCCCCAGAGAACCCGGCATCCGAAAGTTCACAATCCGAAACCATAGCACCAAACTCAGCCATATCTAGTCTTCTATCCGAAACCGATCTATTCCGTTCTGACTCAAGTAAGATTGAGTTGAAGTCACCCCCACAAATCCAAGGAGTGTCACCAATCGTCTCAAAAATGTCGCGGAACGAATTCCACAAAACACGGCGCTCGGAACGAGAGCATCTAGCATAGACCGCAGTAAATACAAAAGGAGCACCAAATAAACCAGATATGCATCTGACATGCAATAATTGTACCTCATCCCTAAGCAACTCGACTCGAAAATTGTGATCCCAAAAAATCCAGATCTTCCCCGCACAATTAGACAAACCAGCAACGAAACCCAAGCGACGGCAATAGTAATCATGCACAAACTCAGTCATAGGTTCAGAAATAACCAATAAATTAACTCTATGTTGGCGACAAATAAAGCGCAAGTGGGATTGGGTCGCCTTATTTTTTACCCCCCTTGCATTCCAAACCAAGAATTTACCCGACATCAAGAAGAGGGGGAATGCGACCCATCTGAAGATTTCCGAGATGTGACAAAGAATGAGTTACCAATAAGGTGGGCCTCCTCCGCATGCCAACGTTCGGCATTCTGCAAACGCCAACGCTCAGCATCAATTAGGCTCGATCGCCACGAGGCCGAAGGTTCATCAGTGATAGAGCCCGGAGTAGCGTGATTAGCTGGGCGTATGCTCGTGGCTGGGCTCACGGGCTCATAAGGTATCATGGCAAGGTGATTGAAAGGAGGCGTGCCGGCCAAATTTTGATCGGCCGTGGGCCGGACCTTGGTCACATAGTGTTCGCAAAATAAGGCAGCCGACGTAGGTGTAATCGGATCCGTACCCGCCGAAAGTCCTGACCCCTCTCGTCCGTGTACCCCATGATTAAGGGGAACATCCTTGGCCACCGAAGTGGCTGAAGGTGATAGAGAGGGGGTTGAGATGGCTGCCCCCTTTGCGGTTCGGGAGCTAGAAGCTTGATTTCTGTTCTTTTTGGAGGGAGACACATGCTGATTTTTTTTGGACATGGATAAGGCCTCCATATCATCTAAATCAGCTGCTTGATCATCGGCAATAGTATCTATAGGGTCTGGACTCATCGGTTGTTTGGTGTTAGAAGTATTTTTTCGGCCCTTTTTCGAAGATTTTGGAACATGTTTGGAAGCAACATCCGGTTGAATATGAGCAGCCTCTATATCCTCTTGAACCCCACTCTCCAACAATTCAAAGGGGTTGTAATGCTCAAAATCTCCTTCACTAATATTATCGGCAGTAGTCCGCACAATAGCTTGACAAAAACTAGGATTTTCAGTTGATTTTGTCCCCGATGTTTTAGGAACATCCATGTTTTCAACAACAACATTTTTCCTCTTTTCAACTCGTCGCCAAACTTGTTTTTCCTTTGGTGGGGCTGTGGGTTTGGGAATCCGTTGTGGCGGTGGTGGAAAATCCGGTTTTTTAGCATTTCCATTCATATAACAATTTTCAACCGAGTGACCCAGGTGAGAACAAAACGTGCAGAATTTTGGGACGTTCTCGTAGTTTACCGGCAAGGAAATCATCTCAATATCATCATAGCCAGTCATCACCGGAATTTGTTCAACCCTCGGTTTCAAGAGATCAATTTCGACGCAAAATCGAGCAACAGATAGCTTCTTTCGATCGGCTGTAAATCATCAAACTCAAGTGGATTTCCAATAGAAGAAGCAAGGAAGATATAGCTTCCCGGTTGTACATATAA